TATTACTATGAATTAGTATGAATTATTAAATTTAAAAAACCCAAAAAACCCAAAAAACCCAATAAAACCCGAAACAGCCAAGTAAAACCCGCTGGGCCGTTTTGAATCTGTTTTATAAATGAAATCTGGACAAACATTTTATATCTATTTTAATTGAGCAAATTACAAAAGTGCCGGACTACACTTTGAAAATCCCAAGACGAGAAGTTTACAAAGGATTTAACCCTTTCCCACAAACTACTGATTTTCTAACCCGTATACCTTTGCAACCTAATAACGTAAATCTGTGATATAAAGATATAGGGATTATAAAATCAGAGTTTGTGGCAAAGACACAAATTTCTGTATTTCTTTTAACTGAAATCGGGTTCAAATACAAATTCTGCGTGGATTAAAGTTGTTGTAAATATTTTGGGGTGCCTCACCTTAGTAAAACAACCTATAAAACGTTTAATAATCTTCTAGGGGGTAGGAGTATAGGAAGGGGGTTTGGGGTGTTTAGCAAGGAAATATAGTTTGTGTATAGGGTGGCAGAATGACTGTAATTTAAACCTATTCTTCAACCCACATTTATTCCAAGGAAGCTCTAGACCCAACTATACGGGGCTTGATTAGAGTAAAACAGTTTTAAAACTCAAAGTAAAAACATGCTGCCTGGGTTCAAAGAAAAGTTAGTTCACACATCAAATTGTACTGACATCTTGTATGTTTTTAATCATAACTCCTTTTGCTTTTTATGATTTGAAATCAAATAAATTTGCTTCTCTCATGCTTATGCAAAGAATGCAAACTAGAGGAGCTACGACGTCACAAAGTCGACCCAGTAGTGTTGCATAAATTTGACCTTCTTCTTCTGTGTCTAGTTCACAGTGATTAGATAGTGTCTACTTGAAAAGTCAACCAGTTGTTGAAAGTCAACCAATTCTTGAAAAATCAACCACTTGAACAATGAGGGAATTTACAGATAAATGTTTATAAATGACAAAAAATATGTCAAGGGTTGTAAATTACGAAAACATTTGCAAACTTTTCTAATTAAAAGAAAGAAAGGACAAGTTACTGCATTGCTTTCTAGTTATCAATACAATTGGTTACCATTGTGCCTTATTTAAAACAATACCATTGGTTACCATTGTGCCTTATTTAAAACAATACCATTGGTTCAATTGTGCCTTATTTAAAACAAAGACAATGGTTATAATTATGCCTTATTTAAAACAATGGCATTGGTTATCATTATGCCTTATTTAAAACAATGGCATTGGTTTCCATTATGCCTCATTTAAAAAATGTTACATTGCGTTTAAATACAATTTTATCCGTCAGTATATTTTGAACAAAATTTCAAAATTCCAGGCACTTTCGGTGTTAATTGTTATGCTTTATGATAATATGATTTTTTCACCAAAACAGCTGGACCGATCAAAAGCGATTTTGAAGACGTCACTTAATTCCTAATGTTTATATTTAATTTTGGGCGCGCAACAATGCATAGGCAATACATTGTATTGTAGTTTCAAATGTTTGCAAAATCGATGATGTGCTAATTGTATATCATTTTGCATACTTAGAAAACGTTTTGCAGTAAATAAAACTTTGTCATTCGCTTCGTAATTTTCATTATATTGTAGGTCCATCAAACCACACAGTAAGATTCAGTGAACAGTGGAACTCTCGTCATTCCATTTTATTTAAATTATAAAATGTCTTCAAACATTCTTAGTTCAAATATTTCCAAAAAAAACTTGAAGTGCGAATTTTCTTGTTGTGAATATCGGGATCAAGCATTGATCTCAATCTTATTCTGCAGTGATAACTGAGATATCTTTAATCTAAAAGTGCCCACATTAGATATCGGAATCAAGCGTTCAGGATTACCAATATCCAAACAAAAGTTGCGAACTCTGATCCTCCTCCTTACAGTTATATCAGTTGCAACAATTGAAAATGACAAATTACTTTTCCAGCTTTTTAAGGTAAAAGGAATAAAAAGATTCATTCAACTGGTTTCTCACGCACCTCTGACCCTTCAGTATAAGTAAATTAAACCTTAAGTCTGACCGCGTCAACCTTGTTGCACCGGCATAGTCCTATTGAGTTTGAGTGTCTGCTTTATTAACCCAATGAATGGGCGATACAGTACAAACTGGGACCGGAAAGGTTGACCCGGCTTGGAAATTTAAATGTACTATGGCTGCCCGTGTTCTGGTTCCCACTGGTAACTATCTATGTAATAACGTTATTCGCTCATTTATATGTTCGCCAAAGTATCCCAAACGGCTGGACCAAAGTGGCTAATTTTTTTAGGGAACCCATGGGCTAAACAAATGTGGAACTTTTTAAATTCCAATGGCAACGCCGGGCATTTAAGCTTAAGCTAAAGTCATGAATATTGCTCATTTCGCTTGATGTTGTTCTATATTTTACTTGTACCTCCCCCCTCCCTCCCATCCCATTAACCACTAACCAACCTCCCCTGTCGTTTTGTAAGTACATATAATTAAAAGACAATGCTATGTTATGCTAAGCACAGTATTGTTTAGATCTGCTCGTGTAGAAAATACAAAAAGTTTTCCTAACGGCGAAACTAAACCGATTCAATGCCATTTTTTGTAAATTTTATGAAATAAGTTTAAAGGGGTAAATTTGTTTACAATTTGATTTAGAACAATACCCGTATATTCATTATTTTGTTTAAAACATTTGATTGACAAAAAGTATTTGGTCCTATGTCCTGTCCTATGTCCTTTCCTATGTCCTTTCCTATGTCCTGTCCTATGTCCTGTCCTATGTCCTGTCCTATGTCCTGTCCTATGTCCTGTCCTATGTCCTGTCCTATGTCCTGTCCTATGTCCTGTCCTATGTCCTGTCCTATGTCCTGTCCTATGTCCTGTCCTATGTCCTGTCCTATGTCCTGTCCTATGTCCTGTCCTATGTCCTGTCCTATGTCCTGTCCTATGTCCTGTCCTATGTCCTGTCCTATGTCCTGTCCTATGTCCTGTCCTATGTCCTGTCCTATGTCCTGTCCTATGTCCTGTCCTATGTCCTGTCCTATGTCCTGTCCNGAGTGTTTATACATATATGCAATTTTTATACAGTTTAACAAAAATTACATTGCTTTAAAACTAAATATGATCACGACCAAGCACAATTTTCATGAATAAATCAATGGTTTGGCAATCTTATACACTTAACTACATCAAATTTAATATTAACTTAAAATCTATTTTAAAAATAATTTGCTGCCATCTTATCTTAGTAAGATTTCGTGTAAGATGTAAAGTGTAAGATCAAGATTTTCAAGTGTTTCAAATACACAGTGTCAAATTATGAATTATGTAAACTCAAAAGAAAGATTTGGTTTAATCAAAGCATATTTTTGATAAAGTTAAATAACTACCTTATTTGTTCTCTATCTTTTAACTCCATTTTCTGTTTAGAAGTTAAATGCATTTTTGGAGCATTTTTTCACTTTAACTATTCACTTCCATCACTTTAATATGTACAGAGTAGCAGTGTTATCATACCTTGGAAATAGATTGTACAATGTACGTATATAAATAATATAACTATTCTAAATGATTGATTCTGACGTATACCATCACATTAGGGCCCATCTAGCAGACCTGAGACCGGAGAAAATCTTTCAAAGATTTCTCTAAATCCGCGAACAAATTTTCTCTGGCAAAAATCACATTCTTAGATATTTGATTTTCGTAACTTCACAAAATGATAGTGACCCACTGCTTAAGTAGGCCTAAAATCGGCCTGAAAAACAGGCAGGAGCTGAACAGTATCCGTCTTTACTGCTCGGTGGTTGAGATTCAACTGATAAGACCGGTTTCAAAGTTCTAAACCAACACACACACATCGTCCATACTTACACATACAAACAATCTCGCACACATGAAAACACTTGAACAATAAACATCTAACGTACTGCAAAACCATTGTTTATAGTATATACAGTCTGAAAATCAGAATCCAAAACAGTGGACACTGTTATAGTGTTTTAACAAACATCCCTTCTACATATTGCGGTTTAGTATAAGTGATGTTGGGTGGTTGGTTTTGGAAAGGGGGTGTATTAATTTGTAGACTCAAATTTGTATTTAGTTCATAACAAATATAATTAAACCTAGCTTTAGAATGCTTTATTTTTTCAAAAATTAAATCTACACAAATGAAAATACCCCCACCACCCATGACCTAAGCTCGATGCCTTTAGTGTCTTCTACACAAATCTTCCTTTACCGGTATTTCTTCACAATACTTTGATTCTTCATTCTTATACAGGTGAAATCCCTTTGATCTTATTAATCACATGTTGATCGATAACATTTTTAAGAATATTTTTTATAATTTTTTTTTTAACTTAAAGAGAGAAGCGAATAAGAAAAAATCAATGAAAATTGATTTTTCCAATTTTAAATTGGGAAATTGAGAATTTTTTTGCGATCACTTGATCTGATGTAATTTATGTTAAATAACATAAATTAAACACCATTTTTAAAAAAAACATTTGCAATATTCAGATACTATAAACATTATAATCTATCTACCTATCTATCTATCTATCTATATATCTATCTATCTATCTATCTAGCTATATATATCTATCTATTTATCTAGCTATCTTTCTATTTCTTAAATCTATTGAAGTTACAGACTGAAGAGCTATGAGAGCTTATATGTCGGCTGTCTGCATTTTTATGGTAATGTATAGGTACAGTTAGCTCAGCAGGGTCTTCAAATCTAAGGGACCGAGGGGGAGGGGGAGAAAGGATAGGGGGTTTAAATACAACAAGAAAATGAGTAACTTCTTTATTTGATTTTTAACATTAAAAAGGCTGGGAGTCCATTACTGTAATATACTTTAATGTTTAGTTGCAAACGATGAATATACGATGATAATAAAGTATATTTAGTAGTTTGGACTTTGGAGTTTACATTTTTGTGTAGACAGTTAATTAACTATACATGAAAAATTATTTTTTTACCTTATTTTTTCAGCAAGTCTATCTTCCTCTTCTATATCCTTCAAAATAACCTAAAAACAAAATCAAATATTTACAGTTAGAACTAGAAAACTGAGGAATAAATGTCGTCTTTGTTCTTAATTTTAGTTTAGAAATGTCGCTTTGGAATTTGTAATTTGCGCAAATTATTTTAAATATTTCTCTAACAAGTTTGGAGCATTTTTTGGGTCCGTCCTAGTATACAATTTTTGGATTAAGACGAATTCTGGGCCGAGCGCTGCGGCAAGGACAGGGTAGGGGACCGAGCGCTGCGGCTAGGACAGGCTAGAGGGCCGGGCGCTGCGGTCACATGATCAATTTTAGCAATGTGTTACATAGATATACCATGTACAAAATTGATAGGAGGGGGGGGGGGGGGGGGGGGGGGCCAAAAATCGTTCTCAAGGAAATTACCCATTTTTTGAAGAAAAAAAATATTAAAACTAATCAAATTAGAACCGATTTAAAAAAAAATGTTAAAAGTGTCCTTAACAATTTAAACACTTGTAAACTTAAACCTCTTAAAGAATAACGTAAATCTTGTCTTTTTATCTGAATTTTGATTATAAGCTGTGTTCTGGACTTATTAACTTTTAAATTTCCTTTTAAAGCACATACTATAAAATCCCTGTGCAGGATGAACATCCCCGAAAGAGAACATAAAATTCCCAAATCAGTAGCGTCGGATTCTGGAACCAGAGAAGGCCCATTTACATCCCTCTCCTTAGTTTGAACACCCTCGTTATTCATTTACATCAAGAAGCAATACATGTTCTTCTAAAACCATAACATTTTGTTTGTCATATTGAACAATATCTTTTTCTGAAATCATGAACAGAGATTGGAACTTTCGTTTGAAGTAGCGTTAATCTCAGTATCCAATATGGCACTTTGAAATTTGAGGCTCAATGCTTGATCCCTTGATTAAAACTCACAATCACCACGAGATATCGAACCTTTAATTGCAACAGCGTTATCAACCATTTTTTCATTAGACTTTGCTGAGGTATAATTAGGAGTCATATCTAGAGATGTCAACGATAGTGTAACGTAACGTAAAAATGTACGTTTTTGTACGTTACGTTACAATAATGTGTAACGTTTGGATATATTCTATATAACGTGAACGTTAAACGTTAACGTTATAGGAGCTCATACCTAACCTTAACGTTAAACGTTAACGTTAGAGGAACATACCCCCAACGTCAGCGACTTGTGGAAATGTAACGTTATTTTTCTAATATCTACAACTTTTTTGACCATAACGTAAAGAAATGTTTTGTTTTCAGGTACACGATTACCCACAAAGAACAGGTACACGGTTACCCACAAAGGACAGGTACACGGTTACCCACAAAGGACAGGTACACGGTTACCCACAAAGGACAGGTGCACGGTTACCCACAAAGGACAGGTACACGGTTACCCACAAAGGACAGGTACACGTTACCCACAAAGGACAGGTACACGGTTACCCACAAAGGACAGGTACACGGTTACCCACAAAGGACAGGTACGCGGTTACCCACAAAGGACAGGTACACGGTTACCCACAAAGGATGAGATTTTAGAATAAATTATATAAAGTCTTTAGCGACCCTGTGGCCTGTATAATTATATTGAAAATAAAAATATCGAATTTTATTTACAAAATTGAACTTGACACAAGATAAAAACTAGGTTAATTGAAAATAAAAGTTTTGACATTTCCAAGTTTTAATGTAAAATATTTACGAGGTATAATTCAAATTTGACATTTAAATAAAAACTTTCATTTTTATAAACACCTGGACAATCTGGATCTTTTCCCAGTCCTCGAGTTTATCAAATGTGGCCTCTAAACTCTCAGTGACCTCCAAGCTGTCAGTGACCTCGAAATTGTCTTGGATGACCTCTGGTCTGTGAACTCTAGTTGTCTTTAACAATCTCAGGGAGGGAGGGGGCTTAACCATCTTTTTCCAAAACTCCCCCCCCCCCCGGCCTTTGTGATTGTTGATATTTTGAATTTAGGATCAAAAATGGACAAATGGACAATACCCAATGACAATACCTTTCATCCTTTTTAAGGTTTCTGGAAAATTTTAAAAGCCCTCCAAAACACTAAATGATCGTTATTTAGTACGTTTTGCATACATCTTCTCTCAGTGTTAAAATTTGGCAAAGCTAAGGAAACCCAAAAGTTTAAAATTAACAATTTTTTAAATTAGTAAAACTTTCAGATTTTGGTGAACCTTTAAAGTCAGACTAAACGAAGCTTTAAAATGTTTTTGAGAGCCAGAATGTTAAATCTCTCTGTCAAATAATCAACAGATAATCGAATATTGGGATCTTTTGTGTATTATTAAAAAAAGCGAACATTACCTTTTACGAAAATAAAAAGCCTTTAATAAGTGCTGATTGAATACAATAGTAATAATAATGATGTAATAAACCATAAAATTTTTTGCTAAAACATTTTTGTATTAAAGGGAGTGTTCGCGAAAAATGAAAGGGGGTATAGGCTTCATGAGATAAAAAAGTGCTTTTGATCGCTACTAATCTTACTTCTATCTGTTGCGTCTATAAGGAGAAAATTGTTAAAGACGTCTCATACCGAATAACTTAGCAGCCATACTAATTCAGAAAATTGCAACATACAACTTAGACCGTAAAAAATCTATTTAATTTCAAACACATCATTCAGATATTACACCCTATGGTCATCGATTATATTTCGCCACATTTGTATATAGTTTATATTTTATAATATTTTTTAATTAATTTGTTTTGAATTTGATTATTTCTCTTGTTACTTGCGCAACTATCTAAGACAGCCGCGCACCACTCACATTTTTCAAAATCCGTTAAAACGTTTTCCAAAAAAAATAAATATTATAAAATATAAACTATATACAAATGTGGCGAAAGATAATCGATGACTATAGGTTGCAATATCTGAATGATTTGTTTAAAATTAAATTGATTTTTTTACGGTCTAAGTCGTATGTTGCAATTTTCTCAATTTGTATGGCCGCTAAGTTATTTGGCATGAGACGTCTTTAACAAGTTTCTCCTTATAGACACAACAGATAGAAGTAAGATTAGTAGCGATCAAAAGCGCTTTTTTATCGCATTAAGCCTATACCCCCTTTCATTTTTCGCGAACACTCCCTTTAACATACATGGTAACTATAACAACTAGTGTTCAATGGGTAAAATTACCTAAATAAAATTTCTATCGTACAATTGTACAATTGTTTTTTTCTATAATGAAAAAACACTGAAATCTACAACGGTACTTCCAATTGTGATTTCTCTCTGGAATTTGAGGATTACTTTAAAATCCAGCAACTGTCACTTGATTAAGTAATTAATTAATTAAATAATATTACGTAATAATATTTAATTAATTAATTAAATAATATTACAATTTACAACTGTGCATTCAATATTCATCCAGTGTTAAATTGTACAATTGTTTTTAAGTGTTATAAGTATTTTCTTTAACTTTGTTTTATTTTAATACAATTTTTTCAGATTTGTATCCTGATACAGTGATAACCAGAAAACTCTGGAATATAAGGACGACTTTGAGAATCAAGTTTTTCTTTAAAAAGTTCAATGACCTAAAACACACCAATTGTGCAGTGTGAACAGACTCATTTCACAAAATAAGTGGTTTTATAATTGTCTAGTAAAACTATTTGCCTTATAACACCGTCAAGTACACATCAGTATTGCTATTCAATTGTTTTCTGGTCATTACTGTATATAGGGATTAGGGGCATTTTCGATTGAGTGATTTTCAGAAATATAAAAAGTTTAATTTAAAGACGACATTCCTTTGAGTTTTGCAGTTGAGATCAATCTCGTCAAAGTCCTTTAATATTCTTTCTTTGATGATAGAATTATAAATAATTAAAAATTCATCGTCAAAGTTAAAATTTTAGATATTGAAGCAAAAAATGAAAAGTAAGACTTTGGTCAGCCCAAGGTTATAATGCAAGGAAAGTTAGTTGCAGTTGCGTATACTCTGTGTACATATTGAAACCAGTTCTCTCTGGGCGGAAATTGTAAAGAAGAATAGATGCATCAGTGTTCGTTTAGTATCCAAAGAGGTTAAAAACAATAAATTTTGATAATTTTAATAAATCACATAATAGTTTCCTATGACCAGAATATCTCATTGATTTTTTATGTTAAAGATGGATCCCATGCAAGGCTTCGAGCCTTAACATCCGTCTTATGTTTACATTAGCGCCCATTACATTACATTACTGTTGTACAAAAGATGCGTACACCTTTGAAATAACTTTCCTTGCATTATAACCTCTGGTCAGCCATCACTATGCTAAATTTTTTTTTTTTTTCATGTAACATGATTCTTTAGTTTGCTACAGCTGTACACTAATTTTTAAATTAAATTTTTCATAATCATGTTAATTATCTTGTATTTTATCAATTAATATATTTCAATGATTTTTACCTTAAACATTAGTTTGATTAGAATAAAAAGCGATGCAAATTTTAATTAGAGGTAATAAAAAATTAATATTATGTATAATCTGAAAAATCAAATAAAATGCTGTAGTGGTACCATTTCAATTGATTTCACCAAAGAAAAGAATATTTTCCTCAAGATCTGAGAAGTTCTTGTAAGTACAATCCGGCTCCATATTTGATACCTTTTCAATATTCCAGGTACTAGACAGTAAAAAGTATCAAGTTAATTTTAAGTACCAGACCAACCTCTGAGCAATTATAGAAATTTGTACAGCATTCATGCAGATGAAATTAGACTATGATAGAGAGCAATATGGAGCAGTACACCATTAAGAGTAATGTGTGTAAAAAGTGTGCATTGTATCTAAGTAAACAGAATACTGCTTTTTAAAGTACACAGTTCACATTATACATTAAACCGTACACATTGAACCGTACACATTACATCGTACACATTACACAATACACATTACACCGTACACATTACACCGTACACATTACAACGTACGCATTACACCGTACACATTAAACCGTACACATTAATCCGTACACATTACACCGTACACACTACAACGTGCACATTACACTATCCACACTACACCATACACACTACACCGTACACATTACACCGTACACACTACACTGTACACATTACACCATTCACATTACACCGTACACATTACACCGTACACATTACACTGTACACATTACACCGTACACACTACACCGTACACACTACACCATACACACTACACCGTACACATTACACCGTACACATTACACCGTACACATTACACCGTAAACATTACACTGTATACATTACACTGTACACATTACACCGTACACATTACACCATACAAATTACACCGTACACATTGCACTGTACACATTACACTGTACACATTACACCATACACATAACACCATACAAATTATACCATACACATTACACCGTACACATTACACATTACACCATACACATTACATGATACACCATACACAATAAAAAGAAGTTCACAGAATTCAGTACATTCAATACACTTTTATGCGATTGTTCAAAATATTGAATTAAAAAATATTATTACTTAAAAGACAACTCACACTTTCCAGCGCAGTTTAAGTTAGTTTAAGTCACTTATGTAACTAGAATTTTAATGAGAACACTTCATTTTTTTGTTACAAAAAATGTCAGTTTTAAAATATTTTTTTAATTGACCGCTTTATAACAATTTTTGGCTAATTACGTAAAATGTCACATTTATTTCAGTTTTTTGTTTGAATGGTCGAGATCATCCTGTTTTGAGGATACTAGGATACAACTGTTTAATTTTCAATGCTAAACTGAGTTCTACAGGTGGATTTATATCTATCTATCTCACAACCTTCATAATTATTCTTTCTACTTTTATACAGGTTTTTATCTCCAGTATTTTATTACTAATTCCCTTTTTACAGAGATTATAAACTGCTGGGAGAGCTATAGACGTTCTGAATTTACTAAAGACAACCACGACTATATTTATAGTTGACTTAAATCTGTTTTTTTTTGTTTCAAATTATGGTAGTTATGGTATTTATTTTCAAACACAAAATACAAAATAATATTGCATGATGGTTCAGCTTAAAATGTAACACAAAAGAAAATTTATTATTAAAAATTAAATTAGATTAAAGATATATTGTTTGATAATTTTGTTTTGATCGTATTTGTTGAAACAAAGTATAAATATTGAAAACTCAACTAAGAATACATTCATTGTGCATTTACAAGTAGATAATTAGTCAGCACTCAAATAATCAAAACATTTTCAGGAATGCATTAATTGAACTTATGAATACATATTGATTCAACAAAAGCAATGTATTCTCGTTGACTGTAGTAGACTTTGACATCCACCATTATCAGAGGGTGTGAACCCATTCTTGTTGACAGTAGTAGACTTTGATATCTACCATTAGCAAATCCATACTCGTTGTCTGTAGTAGACTTTGACATCTACTATTAGCAAAGGGTGTGAACCCATTCTTGTTTACAGTAAAAAGGGTTTCGGCCCTAGTCCTGAATATATTTGCAAGCCTGTTGCATGCTTTCTCTCAGAGAGAGGAGGTGTTGACACCTCAACTGCTTTCTACTAATTCTACTAATTAGGATCTATTAAACTTTGTTATGGAAGACGACATTTAAAATGATAGCTGAGATTCGCCACAAATTTAAACTTTCTAGTTCTTTGATCTCTGAAAACTGATGGTTTAAACCTTCGATATTTCAAACTTAAGACTTTATTATTTAACAGTGATTATACTTCATTCATAGTTTAAAATATCAAAGGTCTTCGACATCGAATTGCAGAGATACCCACAAAGGATGAAACTGTAAAGACGACCTGAAACTATTCAAATATGACAATCCCATGGTTGAAATAAGTCTTCTGCTTTGAAGATAGTCTTTAGATGGTTTATTTAATGTTTTGGCAAAGAAAAAACTAAGTTTAAAGTTGCAGGGAGTTATGAATTTAAGGATACAAACAGTATAAATTCTGTATAGTCTCTCTGAAGTCTCTTGGGTAACCCTATATATTGATTAATAAATCAGAGTATGCAGCAAGAACCCAATTTTTTTTTCACAATTGCTGTGTTTAATGTTTATTCGGCTATTGTTCACTATATCTTAAACCTAACAGTCGTATTTTGATTCTACCGTTTTATGAATTCCAACATGTAATAAACATCAAACCGATTAAACCGATCTGGCCTGAAGACCTCACATGACCCACGGCCACGTGAAGGTAAATAAACGGATCAAATTTGAGAAATCCTAAAATGTGAGAATTAAAGATGGCTGCAAGTAACATAAAAAAATAAGATTAGACAATTTTAATCCACGTTTTGATGTTATGAATTCTAGTCTAAATAATCTTTATTAATGCTATATCTATAATATTTGTGTTTAAGTGCATACGTTGTAAAAATGCTTTTACGATTTAATTTTTAGCGATTTTTTTGCTTTCTCCATTGGCACGCCTTTCTTCTTTGGTGATAAGAGATTTGACGGATTTTTTGGAAGACGACATTGAGCTTCTGGAAGATCTGGAAGGGTGGAGGGAAGAGATGAACCCGATTGTCGGATCATTTTTTGAGCAGTCCAAATCTGAAATATAAAATTCTTAAAGACGTAATTCAAGTAACATACAGTACCATGTATGATTCACAACTGTACCTTCTAGACATTTGTCTCATAATGGTTGAATGAGATTGAATTAGATTGAATGAGATTGAATGAGATTGAATGAGATTGAATGAGATTGAATGAGATTGAAAAATGAAAACCTTTCTCTGTAAAATTGACTTGAAGATTTATGCCTCAAAAACAATAATGGACAGTCTTAGAATTAAACATTTTAAGCTAAAAAAACGACAATATCTTCCACATTTTAGAACATCTAACAATATAAAGGGAACCGTTATGAATCAGTTTAGAAATAGAGGATCATTATATATTACGCTTGCATTCCATCTTATACTCTTTTAATACTTTTTTAAATATAGAAACCTTATTGCCTTCCAACAATTTTGCACATTATAAGTAGTTTAATTTACCGCATTTTTTACACAGTGGTCCAGGGTGCCCCGATGTATTAGAGTATATATAAATCCAGCGATAAAACTGTCACCCGCTGCTATTGTATCCTTAATAATACTACTACTAATAATAATAAAAATAAAAATAATAATAATAATAATAATAATAATAATAATAATAATAATAAAAATAAAAATAATAATACTAATTAGTAATACTATCTAATTTAGTAATAGTGTTAAAGAATAGGATCAACTGAAATTAATGAGTTGATCCTGGAAAGATTAGTAATTAGTGCAGAGTTAGATTGTTGTACGAACTACAGAAATAGTAAGGATAATAAAAATAATAATAATAAAAGTAATAATAACAATAACAATAATAATAATGATAATAATAGTAAGGATAATAATAATAGTAACATTAATGATAATAATAATAATAATAATGATAATTATAATAATAATAAAACTAATGACAATAATAAGAATAATACTTACATTAATAACAATTAAAACATAAAATGATAACAAGTTAACAACATAATAATGAGACCTATGGTATAATAACTATTATAAATTAAGTAAAAAAAAAACATCATTAGTAATTTTATTTTCAAATTTAGTATCTGGACTCCATAAAGCCTACCTTCATCAGAAGACCAATGCTAGAAAAAAAGGTAAAAGCATGAAAAATTCAAAATTTTAAACAACTTTTCATGGTCAGGAAATTCATCATGAAAAACACAAAAAAAAAACAATGTTTAGGATGGTTTTGTCGTGTTAAAAATAGTTTTATCTTAAAAATCGCTTTCTGCCAACAGTCGTCTTCCAATTCCGCAGTTTTATGGGTTCAACTGTTTAAATATTATTATTAATTTGTATTGATTATCATTAGTGACTTATTCTGACTTTTTCTCAATCAATACTAACGTTTATCAAATTCTAATTAAGTTTCTAATTATTTTAAATCACTAATTACTATTAATTCTAATGAAGTGGTTGTTTGAATGTAACTGTGCCAGGTGTACAGATCCTACAGAGGGCGGGACTTATCTCTCCGCCCTACTCTGTAGAACAGGTTGGAACTTTCAAAATGTCTTTTCTTGTTAAGACTTTAAAATAAATCAGGGTTTTGTAAAAAAAAAAATTTGATAATGAAGGAGGAAAAATAGGTGACAAAAATCAAAATACATTTTTTTGTATGATCTGTAATTTTTACCCAATAATACAAATAAAATTTAAATTTAGATAGAAATAAATGTAAAAAAAAAAACTAAAAAAACAGAGCTTCGGGGCGCATGGCATGATGGCACTCATATTTTTAGTATACACCACTTTTTCAGATAACACTTTAAGACGAAATAAATATGTTACTTTTGTTCTTTTCATTTTGAATCTTAACTCAAATTTATTTAAAAACTAGAAAAATGGTTTTAAACACAAGTTATACCTCTTTTAAATTGGATTGTCACCTTTTGCCTAAAAAATCAAACTCTGAAGAAGACAATTGTCACAATGAATTAAATGTTTACAATTTTGACACTAAATTCTGTACAGATTTTGCTAATTATTCTTAAATAAAATTAAAAAGAATCTATGTAATTGAACTCTCCAAAATCTGAAGCTACAAAAAATGGTCAGAAAAGGCCTGTTAATAATTGTCATAACTGTTTAGAATTATGATTACATGTTGTATAGATAATACAACATTATGATTACATGTTGTATAGATAATATAACATTATGATTACATGTTGTATAGATAATACAACATTATGATTACATGTTGTATAGATAATATAACATTATGATTACATGTTGTATAGATAATATAACATTATGATTACATGTTGTATAGATAATATAACATTATGATTACATGTTGTATAGATAATATAACATTATGATTACATGTTGTATAGATAATATAACATTATGATTACATGTTGTATAGATAATACAACATTCAGGTTTAATTTCAAACATTTAGGAAAATGCGGGGGAGCAGTGCTTCCTTTGGATCCCACAGATGGCAGCAGTGAATGGAGATGCAGAAAGTGCAATACTGAAATTGACACTTCTCTTGTTATAAAGATAGTTACCAGTATTTCCTCACAAATAGGTTACTGTAGAAATAAGATATTTGGATATTGAAACATTTTGAAGCATTTCAATCAGATCAGTTTTATAAAGGAACTGAACAATTGCCTCAAACCCTTAGTTTTGGTTCGAAAATTGAAGTTAGAGGAGAGCGTTCAATTCCAATAAATAGTCTCAATGTAAAAAAATTAATCAGCGATTCAACTTCAATTAATATTGATACCGACATTATCTCTCAAATAGCATGACTTTAAAAATCATAACTGCAAATACTTTCTTCTTAATGTATAACTTTTTTGTAAACCATGGTTTTTATTATCAGTAATCAAATTATTTTCATAAATAGGTATTTCTTTTTCTTGTTTTTCTTGTAGATGAACAGAGGTGTTCAACTAGGCTATTTATAAATATTGTTTTATTATAGATAGCCATATAGTTCTCCAGTGTTCAACCAGACTATTTTTAAATAGATTTTTATTATAGATAACCTGGTGTTAGTGTTCAACTAGACTTTTCTAAATTCCTTTTACAGATGACATTGCATTGTTCAAATAGACTATTTCTATAGATAATTTTATTATAGATAACCCGAGTCCTGGTGTTCAACCGATCTATTTCTATGAAAAGCTGATTTCTCTTTACTCTAATATTCTTCATCCTTCACATTATCTCAACTATCAGGCAGGCAACAGATTTAAGCGCAACT